ACAGTGGGGTTATGGAAGTTTGAAGTCGGAAGTCAACTGCAAGTTAATAGATTTTTGCCGTATGAGTATACGTTGCCCAGGGTGTACCACGCGGAGGTAAGTCTATCGCACACCCCTAAATACTATTAGGTTGGCAACTAAGTCATTGTCAATTTCGAATAAGAAGGGTATGCTAAGTCATTGCCGATTTCAAATAAGAAGGCAAATCCGGATTTTTTGTTTAAAAATATAACTTTATTCAATTAGATATTGGCCGTTCTTGTCGACGACCTTTTCTATTCAATTAGCTATTGACCGTTCTTGTCGATGACCTTTTATGTCGATGACCTTTTTCCATCCTTCTGGCAGAGTAAAAATGCCCCCTTCGTAAATGTCTGGTCTTTGCTATAAACTGAATTAGGTGTGCTTTGCATGGAACAAGTCAAATGGTAATCCAAAGGCGCAAGTTCAGGGCTATATGGTGGAAATCCGAAGGCGCAAGGTGAGGGCTATATGGTGGGTGTGTTTAAAGAGTGTTGCATGGAACGAAACAAATGGTAATCCTAAGGCGCAAGGTCAGGGCTATATGGTGGGTGTGACAAAACCCCCAACCCTGTTCTTCCAATAATTTTTGCCGAGTAACCAAAGATATGGGAAGATGTGAGGGGGGCCTTGCGTTATCATGATGGAAAACAATCAAATATGTGTACGGCCTTGCGTTATCATGATGGAAAACAACAAGGGAGGAGGCCTTGCGTTATCATGATGGAAAACAACACCCTAGGCCTTGCGTTATCAATGATGTGTGGAAAACAATACCCTTCCGCCGATTTGATAATGCCGGCCGCTTGTCTTCAATTGCATCCTTCAGTTTTTCGAGTAGTTCAACATACATATTTGAATTTATCGTTTGGTTCTGCGCCATGAGTTCAAAATACAAAATTCCTTTGTGATCCCCCCACCAGACTGACACCATAATCTTTTTTGGTGAATCTCTGCAGCTTTTGATACTGTTTGGGCTGGTTGAGCTTGCTTCACCCATGATCTCTTGCGAGTAACGACATTGTTATAAACTATCCACTTTTCGTCGCCAGTAACTAGGTTCTTCAGAAATGGATCATTCTCATTGCGTTTCAGTAGCGGCGAATCACAGATGCTAATGCGTTGCGTCAAATGAATTTCCTTTAACTGGTGAGAAATCCATAAATCAAGTTTCTTGACATAACCAAGGGTTTTTCATTATTTTTCAATGCATGTATGCGACACATTGAGCTTCTCTGTAATATCTCGTGTTGTGCTGTGACGATTTGAATCGATAATGGCCTTGATATGGGTTTCATCCACTTCGACTGGGCGGACAGATCGTTGTGAATTTTTCAGTGAAAAATCACCGGAACGAGATCTTTCAAACCAATGTCGACACTGCCTTTCTTTTAAGGCTTCATCTCCATATACGCCACATAACTTCTTTTGTGCTTGCGATGCGTTCTTGCCTTTTTGGAAGTAATACAATAAAATGTGTCGGAAGTGCACGTCCTGTTCTTTCATTTGTAAATTGGGATAAAAACAAAACTAAAGAACTAAACAAAAAAATTTTTTACTAATTAACCTAGAAGCCCATACAGTAAGAAAAAAATATAGGTTAGATGCTTGGCCACGTTAGCAAAACAAAAGAAAGTATAGAGTGAATCTGTCAACAAAAACAACAATGACTTAGTTGCCAACCCAATAATATTAATTTTGGTGATTATCTATCAGAATATCTTTGGTACTAGTTCAGCAGTGAGCTGATTAAAAATGAGCACAGATTAATTATGGATTATTTAAATTGAGGATCCGCAGACATGAATTAGAATGCAAATTAGATGACTATTATCAAGCCCTTCTAGACCCTAGTTGTGAGTTTTATCGATCCACTGGATCAATAATGCGTGGCCAAAGAATGACATCCGTCAATGTTGGTTTAAAATCCAAAGAAAGCGATAACTCCTAAGCTCAATCAGAAGAATATTTCACAAAGCTTACCTTGAGCAGTGATCCTGAGGGGAAATTCAAAATCCTCCCGCTCCTTTACTTTTTAGACTAAGTTGGCTTGACCGACCATTATACTCACTAGAATGCACTTGTGCTTCGAAGGCACAGAACCAGTGGCCTCAGGCCTTACAGAAGAACATCTAAGCCTCTCACTTCCGTGCCACCAGGTTAATAGTCCAATTGAAGTATCGAAGAGGCTCTAATCCCACTTTTATACATAGATCGAAAAGCAAACATGGTACAGAAATCATTTTTCCCATCATCGTCATCATCATCATCACAATTTTTATGTATTTGCAATTTTGGGATATTTGTATTGAAAGGACTTACACGAAAGAGATACCATTATCAGCCTCTGACAATCCATAGATAGCCTTCACTCGCATTGTGTTGGGTAAAGGACGAGTCACGACGAATCGCATGTCATTTTCAATATTGAGATTGTCCAAACTTGGAATTATAACAACAGGTCGTGAGCCTTCAGGAGCTGAACAGGCAAATTCAAACGGTCGTCGTGGAGGGATTGTGATATTTTGACCCGCACTAGGAGGAGCATATTCTAGAAGAGAGAAAGATGTTTATTCCCCGCACTCACTCCATTTATTGGCTACACATATTTGTGTATAAAAGACTTAGTTTTCAGAAAAAACAAATGTCTTTACCTATAAATATAATAAATAATTGGTAGTGAAGGTCAATGCTTCTATCCAGTTCTCATACAGCCTTTATTTTTGCAACCAGCATAGCGTTTTGCTACAACCATTAATTCAATTTGTGGTCCATTTAATTCAATGTATTTTAGTTGCCGGTTGATTTTAACCAATCATTAATAATGGCAAAAGACAATTTTGTAATGCTTCAATGTCTGATTGTTCGGTTCTATCTAGTAAGCAAAACCATTTCACTTCAGGTAAAGGCATAAAGGCATTTTCCTTTCTATTCCAGTAGAAAGATAAATTAGATTTCAAGAAATTTAAATAATAATAGAGAGGTGATATTCCCGATAATTACGCAAAATTCACTACTTCCAGATTCGGCCAGTTGCTTCGTAAATGAAATGACCAATCCCCCCCCCCCCCCCCTATCTACCACAGCGGTTAAGAGACTTTTCACAGAATTTTCTTTAATGAAATCATGAAATATCTAATGCTTCCACTAGTAGAAACAATTAATCACAACATTATTTCACTCGGAATCGGCTAAGATATAAAAGCTTAAACAACCGCTAACTTGACCCGTTTGAGTATTTACTTTAATATTACAATCTTAGGTTAAAATACGGAATTAATATGAATGCTGCATTGATATTTAGCATTCATACGTATTTAAATAAATTCCTTATGTTCAATTCAACAAAAACTGTAGCGATACAGAACTATTGATAATAGATTGCAGTTATTTTATTAGCATGGCACCAAAGATTATGCTGAATTAATTTTGTATTAGCATGTTCACTTTTCATACCTTTGTATCAATTCAAAATACTTAAAATTAAACCCATCTTAAGGCCCAAACGTACTGGTCCCCATTAGTGCATAGGAATAACTTTAAAAAAACCTTGGCCACCAACTTGAACACTCTTTCTTATGTACTTATTTTGCCTTTAGGTCACAGATGAAAATTTGAGAGAAAGCAAATTGAATTATTAAGCACAAGCTCTGCGACACTTACTTTCACAATACTCTAAATCCTCATCAGAACCATCTCGGCAATCATTGACACTATTGCAAAGTTGGTATCCTGGAAAGCAGGTTCCATCTCTACAGCTGTGCATTCCTGTTGGACAAGTCGGTAAAATGAAGACGTTTATATGCCCACGATCACCACCCTCAAAGAAGCATCTTTAAAAGAATGAAATACCATTGCTAATTTAGGATTGACAATCAACCCTATTTCAGCACTTTAAAGCATTGTAAAAGTTATCAGGAAATGCAAATTAATCCTAATTATTTTTAATTTAAGTATATCTGAATCGTTGAGTGCACCCTGGCTGAATGGGGCCAGTTAAAGTGGCTTTTATAATGGTATAAAAACCTTAAATTTGTAAATGATATCAATAGAAGTCAAAATATTAGCAATAAGATATTTAAATTTTGGTTTTCCTAAAATTTTCGGAATTTAACATTTGATTTATCTGGCAATTTGGTCAAAATTTAAGTTAAAAGAGTAGCGTATGTAATAGAAAAGCTGATATACTCACAGATATCATAATTAAAACAATATAACCGATACCGAACTTAATAGAGTTAATTAATTAAAATGTATGTATACAGAAATTTAGAATAACCTTTTATAAATGCTATTGATAATAAGGAAAGGTGGGTGGTTTAGAGGCCTATAGAATAAGTCCTTACTCAAACGTCAAATTGCCAAAAATTTCTCGAAGACCTCGAGTTGCAGTGACTCTAATTGTATTTATTGAAGGTCGATTCACACTGAAACCGGGTAATTCCTCAAATCGCATACTCGTTCCTCCAACAACTACAAGTGGACGTTTTCCAGTTGGTGCCGTGCAAGTGAAACTGAATGGTTCCCAGGGTCGGCGAACTATCCTATCGGGTTCGATTGTCACACCTAGTGGGAATAAAATGATAAATATCTAATGCTTGCATAAGTATAAAATATTCAATCTCTAAATTACACACCAAAAGCTAACTTTCAACCTCATTTTTATACTTTTAGTGGAAACAGTGGAAGCCAGTAAAAAATTACAAGGCTTTATTGGTAAATGTCAACTCAATTCAATTTACGATCATTACAATTTTTAACAACGAATCTCTGATGATCATTCAATGAAATTATTTTCCGGCGATTTAGGAGAAAATACTTAGTTTTAAACAAAATCTAAATAAAGCATTTCATTTGTCCTTACTCTTTTCAATTGAATAAAAGCGCTGCCAACCATAGATAAAAAATATCTTTTATTTCGTTTTAAATGCTGAAAATGGTCTTTCTAACAAATGTGATGATATTGTGTGAGCTTCAAGATATTAAAACTAAGATAGATTGTTTGCTAAAATTTGATGAAGCACTTGAAATCCTTCCCAATAGTAAAGAAGACATTAATTTAGCATTGAACTGGGAATTCATTGGTTAGCTCAAGAAATGTCCTTCCCGAGGGTAGAGCCACATAAATCCTTATTGCGCTTTGATAATTTTCCTCCTATCTTTTATTCCCCCCCCCCCCTCCTTTTCCATTTGGGCCCTGGATAATACATCATTCAAGTTGCACCTGAAAGTGCAAGTGGATGTCCTCAACCTTTCATTTTACGGCTGCATTAATTGTGGAACACCCATTTTACATTGCACCTTAATGCCTCTTTCTTTCTTATTAAATTCCACATGTCTTATATAAACATATCGTGTTTTTGTATTGAAGTTGTGGGAGGGAAGGGGGCGAGGTAAATCGGAGATTAACAACACTTTTGGGTATAACTAGTGATTTAATAAAAGAAAATATGTGGCTTGAAGATCAGCGAGGATGGGAGCTAAGTTTGGAACCGTGAGATCGATTCTCAGCTAAATATTTGCGGTGTTATTCATTTCACCATGAGAGATCGCAGAAAATGAGATAGTGATAGTTTCCATTCTACCCACATCAAGTGTTATTGTCAATATGAATAATAGCCATGCGAATAACTATATACATAGGTTGAAGTCTTAATAAAGTAAGATTACCTCTACAGTCAGATTCATCAGATCCGTCTGGACAGTCATATCGGCCATCACAACGGCTATAAGTAGGTACACACTGTCCATTGGAACACCGGAATTCATCCGATCGACATGGCCTTTCAATAGGTGCTAAAATTGTAGAACAATGGCAGTCACGGTCACTGCTTCTTAATTTCTTCGTGTCAATAGATTCTATTTTTGTTTACCTTATTACTCATAGTAAGTGGAAAGCGAGATCTTTAAAATTAAAATATGCAGCAACACAAAAATTATTAAAATCGAAAAATTCCCTTGATTGGGCTGTAAATAGTAGAATTGAAAGAAATTATAACTGTTATCGTAATGACAAAATAAAGTGCTTTACGAACAACTTCTCATTATGGGTATTTTAGAAGCGATCCGTCTAACACTTCTCATAGTTCTTATTAAATCGATTTTAGCATGTCTTGCTAATCGGGCAATTATTTGGCATTATTTGAAATGATCGATGTAAGTAAATATTCCAAGTACCTCTGCAAACGAAATGCACTTCCTAATGTATATATATATTAGGTGGGCAACTAAGTCATTGCCGATTTCAAATAAGAAGGCAAATTCGGAATTTTTGTTTAAAAATATAACTTTATTCAATTAGATATTGGCCGTTCTTGTCGATGACCTTTTTCCATCGTTCTGGCAGAGTAAAAATTCCCCGTTCGTAAAATGTCTGGTCTTTGCTATTAAAAAACTGAATTAGGTGTGATCCGACATCATCCGCGTTGTTAAAAAAATTTACCATTTAAAGAGTTTTGCATGGAACGAAACAAATGATAATCCGAAGGCGCAAGGTCAGGGCTATATGGTGGGTGTGACAAAACATCCCAACCCAGTTGCAATAATTTTTGCCGAGTAACCAAAGATGTGTGGGGCCTTGCGTTATCATGATGGAAAACAATACCCTTCCGCCGATTTGATAATGCCGGCCGCTTATCTTCAATTGCATCCTTCAGTTTTTCGAGTTGTTCAACATACATATTTGAATTTATCGTTTGGTTCTGCGGCATGAGTTCAAAATACAAAATTCCTTTGTGATCCCCCCACCAGACTGACAGCATAATCCTTTTTTGGTGAATCTCTGCTGCTTTTGATAGTGTTTGGGCTGGTTGATCATGCTTCACCCATGATCTCTTGCGAGTAACGACATTGTTATAAACTATCCACTTTTCGTCGCCAGTAACTAGGTTCTTCAGAAATGGATCATTCTCATTCTCATTTCGTTTCAGTAGCGGCGAATCACAGATGCTAATGCGTTGCGTCAAATGAATTTCCTTTAACTGGTGAGGGATCCATAAATCAAGTTTCTTGACATAACCAAGGGTTTTTCATTTTTTTTCAATGCATGTATGCGACACATTGAGCTTCTCTGTAATATCTCGTGTTGTGCTGTGACGATTTGAATCGATAATGGCCTTGATATGGGTTTCATCCACTTCGACTGGGCGGCCAGATCGTTGTGAATTTTTCAGTGAAAAATCACCGGAACGAAATCTTTCAAACCAATTTCGACACTGCCTTTCTTTTAAGGCGGCTTCATCTCCATATACGCCACATAACTTCTTTTGTGCTTGCGATGCGTTCTTGCCTTTTCGGAAGTAATACAATAAAGTGTGTCGGAAGTGCACGTCCTGTTCTTTTATTTTTAAATTGGGATAAAAACAAAACTAAAGAACTAAACAAAAAAAAATTTTTATTAATTAACCTAGAAGCCCATACAGTAAGAAAAAATATAGGTTAGATGCTCTGGCCACGTTAACAAAACAAAAGAAAGTATAGAGTGAATCTGTCAACAAAAACGACAATGACTTAGTTGCCAACCCAATATATATACACTATGTATCGAATATAGGAGAATTAGGTTGTTAGTAATATACCATCTCCAACACGTTCGTTCTATTGCGAATTTTTACATTTAAATTGACGGTTCCTATATTGTGTAAATGGATTTACCTATAGAGATTTGGTTATATGTAGAATAAATTCCAATATGGCAAATGAATAGCTATAAGGGCCGAAAAATCCAATAATCGACAATTGAGGGAGCGAAGAATGGTTTCTTTCAAGGGTAGCGAAAAATTTCGATTTGTTCTCTTAACAATATTCTTATTCACAATCGCTTTGCGTAAATTTTGAATAGCTTTCTTTAACAGAATACAAAATTTAATTTATTCTAAATTAAGTGTAACTACTATAAATTAATCAATATTAAAATAACTCCCTTATACCCTTTTGGAAAGTTCCTATCCGTATTTTGACTGACTTGAATTAAATTGCGACAAAAATCATTTTGAAAGAATCTAAAAATGGCCATTTATTTCATATTTTCAAAAATAAATCATGAACCCTCTATCGAAAAGATTTCAAAGCAATCATTATATAAAATTAAAAAAATATTAGAAGTTCAATTTTTTAGCTTCTATATCGAACTAATAAATATTGATGCTGAACTGGGGTGTGCAATAGACTTGCCTCCACGTGGTGCACCCTGGGCAACGTATACTCATACAGCAAAAAAGTCTATTAACTGGCAGTTGACTTCTGACTTCAGACTGCCATCACCCCACTGTAAGTAATATTCTACCACTTCCACAGTAATCATCTTACCTTTTCTCTGTCTTTGTGTTTGTCTGTCTGTCTCTTTTATATCATTATTCTGTCCCCCCTCTCAACTTTTTGTCACTTTGATGTTCCCCCTCCCCTCTGTGAAACCCGAAGTCAGCTAAATGGCTAATGATGACTATCAAAACGCCTGCGACTTCTTTTTAGAAAATTATGCAAATTTAATGAGAAGTTGAAATGAAAAATGGAGAAGATCCTTACGGCAATTGGCTTCATCAGATCTATCAGAACAATCGTATCGACCATCACATCTTTGTGCACCTTGGATACATTGTCCATTTGAACATCTAAATTCTCCTGGTCGACAAGTGACTATTGGAGGAGCTGTAGGAGTCAAGAACACGTCTGATTAAGTTATTTGCACAAAATTCAATGGTGAGCGTATTTAATGATAAAAAAGGACAATTGGACCCATCATTATACCATTTCCCGCTTTAAAATTTGGCATTTGTATCCTTGGAAAAATATCATTACCCGAATCAAACGGTTTGAGGCTGAAATTTTCCTTATTTCCGTAATGGTCATTTGTTCATACTGTCACTTACTAATCATTCACCTGAATGTGCCATTCATATGTATTTAGGCCATCGGTACCCAACCTCTCCCTCTCTATGAATGGAAAACCATCGAATGATATCAAAAGCTCTGTAGGTCCCTCAACCAAGCATGAATTTATGTGATCAACAATAGCAAAGCATTCTTGTGATTTAATTTGCAATTCAATAACTTCTGCTATGATATTTCATTCAAGCTGTTCATTCAGTTACTATTTGAGTGTTCACAAGAAGTAACCAACAGTGGTCATGAAAAATCATGAGTTTGTTCGAATTAAATTAAGAGTTAAGTTATTTTCAATGTATTTTCATGAGATTCCAAGGAAAACTGTCACAATTTATGCATAAGATAAGCATACAGTCCCAATGCCAGTACGTGTCATTCTATAAGCTTTCCATGATGTCTCCCACAATATCTAAAAGATGTAATTGAATTTGTCTGCTTCAATCAGTTTCAAAATATGAATTTTTATATATTTTGTGGAAGTAAGGAGAAGTTACAAGTGCATTAAATCGCTTCGCTACATTCGCTTCAAACAAGCGAATACTTAGAAGGTATATTAGTAAACACAACATAGGATTCATGAATAAGCAACTTATAAATGCAAAACAAAAAGGCTTTGAATGTCATAGCCGGTTTCCAAGACAACGCTGGAGGTTAAACGTACTTAAAACGCCTTAGAATGACACCCTGAATGTTTAAAGTCGCATCCAGTGAGAGCTTTTTAAAAAATCAGAAGAAACATATGCATTTATTCATCAAAAAGAGGTGAAGTGATCATTACGAGTCCCATGAACCAAATCTATCTACCCTCTTCTCAAACTGCTATAGCGGTGTGTTCACTACTCAAAATCGGGATTAATTAATATAAGTAATGTCACTTACGACAACCAGACTCATCAGACCCGTCCAAGCATTCGATTCGGCCATCGCACCGACTAGACGCAGGTACACACTGTCCATTCGAACACCTAAATTCATCAGGTCGACATGTCACAACAGGGGGCGCTAAAATTATAAATAGGTAATAAATTGAAAGGACTTGATTTTCACAAAAATGTAATTTTAACAAATTTTATCCTTCGCAGCAATAGAAATAAGAGAATGGCTTAATGAAACACTTCTATAAAGTTTAAAGTGAAACTTACACGAATTTAAAAATTCAAATGCATATATTATTTGCTATTATTTTGAGAATTCAATTTATTATTCCGATAAATTTAATCTCGATTCTTTTATCTATATTTAAAATCATGATGCGATGAGCAAAGTATTGACGTTGATTTCCTCAAGCTAACCGATTTTGCTTTCGTCATATGGCTTTAAAATTGTAAAAGCATCAGAATATTGCACTTAACGCTTCTTATTAGAGTTAAATTAAGATATAACGCACGACAATTGACTTCATCTGAACCATCCAAGCAGTTAACACGCCCATCACAGCGTTGCCATGGGGGTAAGCAGGTTCCATCACGACAAAGAAAACCTCCAGGACAGGGTTGAATTACTTCTGTAGCATTCAACGTCACCAGGGCTGTTCGAGTTCCTTCGTTTGGAAAGAAGCATCTAAAACGCCGGGGCGAAATTAAACTATACTGCATTCATAAATTCTTCCTTCATAAAAAATGAACAGTTTCATGTTCTAAAAGACCATTCACAGGTTTATAATGGGTCTTTGGAAAGAGACACCCTGTAAAGAGTTCGCCCCCAGGAAAATGTTTAGTTATAAGCCCGCATCGAAAATCGAAATCAGATGATCAAATTCACAAATAGTGAAGAAACAGTACGGAATTATTTACAGATAACATCATAATTTGTCACGCGAAACCCAAGTCTACAAGTTCTATAATAGTGGCTGGATCGATTTATGGAGCTTCGTGTGCCTTTTCCACATTGGCCAACAAATCTAATCAATTCTGTCAAGCAAGAAAGTTGATAGAATGGTTAATCGACTTCTTCACTCTGTCAAATTCAAATACTGTGATGACTCCCAATAATGAACTTAGAAAGAACATTTAGGTGCATAAAAGAATGTTAATATATAATTGAATGATGGTTTAAAAAATCGTTTGGTTTAATTATCGCTAATAAATCACAATAAAAGCAATAAGTGACAGAGACACAATAAATGTCCATCGAAGTGTCTGTATTTTGATTATTTAAAACTTATTTGTTGTACTAAACTACTTCACTGAATTCGTGCAATTCCATACGAATGAAAATTATGGGAAATTTTCACTTACTTCAATAACTACTCAAGACAGTATATTTATAGTCACAAATTCCTCAGGTTTTAAATTCTGGTAAATATATCGTTTTACCTGACAAGGTTATAAGTTAATAAAACTGCAGACAATTAACTTCCCCAAGAAATGAAATGCCAATTTGTGTGTAAAGTTTGCAAAATTTAAAAAGTTCAACATTTCATAGTTGAATATTCTATTCATTTTCATGTTCCTATGTCTAATTTTCACATTTTTTGTAGTTTACAAGCAACGAGTCATGGTCCCTTCTTGTTCTACATCACATGATTCTAAACTTGCCTTTTCATAGATAAGGATACTCAGAGATGATTGGCTACCTGATGACCCAATAATTGTAGTGAGGGGTTCTTCGCTGGAGATCTTATATATCAAAATGAGAAAGTATTTAACGTATTCAACACCGTTTTCAAACACTCCGAAGGAAGCACCAAAAATTTTTCTACAAATTTTGACTGATATTACTATATTTCTTTTCGATAAAAAAATCATATACAATTTACACCCAAGTCTCTGCCCTTTAGCTTTTTTGTTCTTCGGATACTAGTTCAGTTTTAATCATTCCATTTATTGAATGACATTTCCGATTTTAAAAGCCCAACCGAATTGTTAAAGTATCTTTGCAGCCGGAAGCACGCACTCTTTGAATTTTAACAGAAAGCACATTCTTGCCACCTTGAATGGTTAAGGAAGCAACTTATTATTTCTAAACAGTTTATCAGGTTAAGATAATAAAATAACAAATAACTTTATCATTAACATGCATTTCTAGCGAGTTTTCGCAAATCATAAAAAGTTATTTCCAAATAGCAACGCGACGAATGTTGCGATAGGAAGCATAAAATTTTTACACATTTTTCTCACGTAGTTGATGGTCGTGTCTGTTTAATTTTTTATTTAATGCGATAGAAATGTTTCATTTAGGGAAAAGAATGTTTTATCGGGTATATTTGCTATTTTTCTCCCACCTTTTTTTCAGAATTTACACTTATAATTTAATCAATTAGCATTAGTTATAAAGATCAAATGTCAAGAGCCTCAAGTATGTACCTTACTTGAATTTACGAGAAAGGGAGTGAAAAGACCTATATTCTTAGTGAGAGGTGATCAAATTTCCATTATTACTAATAAATATAATTTAATAAATTATTCTTTCCATTATCTGATCAAATTTAAATAATATATTTTATTGCGTTTTCCGGAGCATCAATATCCATCACTTAGGCTACTTCGCAACACCGTTTCCAAGTCCAAATGGCTTTTTATAGGAAACAAAAATGAAAATTGCCCACGTAATGATTTAATTTATTTAAGCCTTCAGACTGACACTTCACTTACCGGCAATCCAAATCAAAGCCATTAATGAAATCCGTCCCTATTTAAATAAATCCTATCATGGGTGAAATTAAATATTTCTCTTAAACCAAGTTGCTTCGCTCTGTCCACAAAGTCTGCTGGTTGTTCAACTTGTTTATGTTATGCTAATTTGGAACTGTTGGCTCTTAAGAGCTTTTAGGTCAGTCAACATTCAGTTCATAATGTAGAAAAACCTACATTCGTAATCAAACAAGTTCAAAGATGGGCAGATAGAATTTCAGAGCTAGCAATTATCATAAGTCTCTTTTGACAGAAGACAAATTTCGCATTTAAATAACGAAACTGTTGATAAGGTATTTTAACTTAAGACAATTTTAAGATTAAAGAAGTTAATTATATTCTGTTTGTAATACTGCGAAGGAAATAGGAGATCTTGATATGGAGGTTACTGAGTATAAGTCCAGACTTACTAGTGCAGCGATTCACTGCAAACTACCGTTGAAGAAAAGGATAATTAACGACTGTGATCGAATTTTATTGTTGTTTATTAATGAAAATGAAGATTGTTCCATTAAGCCCAAAAGGTAAAATTAAACCGAACTTCTATTTGTTGTCACTTTTGATTGAATGAATAGTGATTTATTTGACAAATAAATTTAATGAAGCTTTTATTTGGCAAATAGATGAAATGGCTGGATCAATACCATTCTAGAACATTTCCGATAATCCCATTAAATAATTTAAAAAACATGGAATCATTTCGCCTTTCTAACATTTACCCATCTTTCCCATAAAAACGCCCAATCTATGCATTTGGCATAATTGACCACGTATGTTAATCAAGTGGCTATTAATATCGCAATAATTTTAATTTTAATTGCAATCGAATTAATTTTAATAATCATAGAATGAATAACCACATTCGCCTAAAATGACTTTTGGATTATTACTAGCTAAGGAAGACATCCCAAAAAAACCTTTGCTTAATATTTGACTCAATTTGGCATATATTTATCGATTGAAACGGCGAAAACTCTCATTCATCTTCTAACCGGAAATCAGTTAATATAGAATCTTCTATGGCACTGAAATACGCTTTTTCATTTTGTTTTCTTTTACACTCAAACCATGTATTTCCTTTTTTGCTTTTTTTATGAGAAATTGCTAATCGTATGTGTCAATTTTTCCCATTGTCAAACACGATTAAATAATGAATTGATTGAAGGATCACTTATACTGCCGAATCATTATCATTTGGAATATAATCACATACATATGAATATTTCTCAATTTAATGAACCGAGTTCCTTCTTTATGTTAAAATACAATATTAGTAGTTCGTTAGCTCGAGTAAAGGCACCACAAAAATTGAATGATTAAGCGAATCGAAAATTTAAGGGTAACTGAAGGAAGTAAAACCCCTTACATTCTTGAATGTTCGTTAGATTTGTTCTTTCTCTTAGTAAAGCTAATGTAAAAATAGTTGATCAGTGAGTATATTAGAAATAGCACAACATACTCTATTAGAATTGCCTGGTTGTGTTGAGGAAGACCATGAGGAGCCACAATAACCATTTCTTCAGGCCGCGGTCGAGTTACTACGAAACGCTGATCTTGTTCAACAAGTATTCCCGTCATGGGAATCCGAGCACTTGGAATTTGACGAGGTGAGGTTGAACGGCAGGTCACTTGGAACCGTTCGAGCGGTCGAACTTCCTGCTTAACCGGAATGGCTACTAGCTTTGCAGCTTTAAAAAACCAATAAGGACATAGTTTGAAATATTTGGTCTGAAAACATGCAATCTTTAGGATAGGTACCTGGCTACTCGATCTATCCTTGCATTTGTTAAAATTGGTTATTGAAAGAAAAATTAAGATTATTGATTTAAGACCAGTTGTACCATTTTATCAATTTTAGCTCTATTTTATTTTCCCAAACGTTAGGTCTAAACAATGAAATTGGCCATAAAATCGTAAGATAATTAGGAACAAAGATAATTTCAAAGTATTTTAAGCGATTTATCATTATATTAAATCCATATTATATTTGGTTTGATGAAATAGTAAAACTATCAAATTAGCATAAAATTTGCACCAATTATTCATTTCTGAGCATAATTCTGGTAAAAGAGACCAAATAGATGTACATTATTAATGAAGCTTACAACAAAACTGTCCACTTTCATCCGAACCATCTCGGCAATCACTGATGCCATTGCAGATCTTGTCACCGGAGACACATTCACCACTGAGACAACGAACCTGACCTGCCGGACATGGATCATAAATGAAAATTCGCGTTTCTTTCGAGTAACCATTCGGGAGAACACATCTGTAGGACAAATTTAAAACAACTTAAGTTGGCTAAGTGAGATATTCCATAATGTTTGTTTAAAATTTCAATATTCAATATTCCAATACTGGGATGCGCAATAGACTTACCTCCACGTGGTGCAGCCTGGGCAACGTATTCTCATACGGCAAAGAAAGTCTATTGATCGGCAGTTGACTTCAAACTTCTATGGCCCGACTATTTTTCATATTCGTCCCCTTTCACAGCACTCATCTAACCTTATTTATGCCTTTGTGTCTGTCTGTCTGTCTGTCTCTTTTACATCTACGAATCACTCTTCTGTCCCCCCCCCCCTCTCTTGAATTTTTCTCACTTTGATGTTCCTTCTCCTCTCTATAAAACCCCGAAGTCAGCTCCAGGGCTAATGATAACTTTCAAAACGCCTGCCATTAGATATCAATAAAATATTCCAATACTAATGTGAGAAGCACTCAAATTCAGGAAGAGAAGCTGTGAAAAGTCATTTTAAATTGCTTACTACAAAAAAACATTTTCGTCGACGCTTTGTGGGAGTACATCTGCAAGAGATTAAAGCCATTTTGATTCAAAATCTACTGCTAAGTTTATTTTTGTGTTAAATTGTCAGTGCTTATTGCAGGCCTTCGAGTTTATTGCAAAATATTTCAAATTCCTTTGACAAATTCAAATGTAACCTCCTTTACGTCATCAAACATAGTTGAACTTTGATTGATGAAATACGGGCTTAAATATTCATTAATCAGTGTTGGCCTCCATCTCTTGAAAACCAATATCTTCAAACGAAGGAAGTGCTTTCAACTATCTCACATCAAGATCATCATTAATCGAGATATTCCAATCCCGATTCCAACTATTTGGAAATCCCAACTGTCAAGATTATCAATTTAATGGCTATTTTTTCCGATCTGACCAAATGTATTTTTGAATATTTTGAATTCCACCTTTTGAATCGCTTCATTGGTCATAATCTTTCTAATCGAATTTATTTGACAACAATATTTTTCTTCACATTCCAAAGCAGACTAGTTTTTATAGCCTGCTGACCTGAAGAATTGCCCTCAAATATAATTCATCCGTTTGTTTAATCCTTTAACGCCCGAATTATTTTTTTGAAAAATGCCCCTAGCCGCACTCATGTGTGTCTCGCACCAGATTGATGCCTCTGACGTAAAGATTTTTGGTGGAATCAGGCGAAGGCTATAGGCTTATTAAACAGATTTCAAACAGCAAAAGCGTCTTCTGTTACGAGCCCGGTATCAATGGAGCCTATTTTGAGAGAGGACCGAATGGTCTTAAGTGCTTTGAAGGGTCGAATCAAATATCCTATCTATGCATCTGCTTAGAAAATCTCTTTTCTCGCCCTGGATATAGTAAGGAGTGCTGAAGTTGAAGAACGTCTGCGTAATTGCTTACACAGTAAAATTTGCTATTTCAAAGACTTCGTTCTCTACTCTTCCGAGACATAGGGGGGATAAAATCGTAGGACCAGTCAATCCTTTCCACTCAATGAACTAATTAGAAGCTTTGGGTACCATCGACAAGAGATAACCTCGATCTTCAGGAACTGACTCATGAAAGTTGAGCTTTTGAATTACCTTAAAAGTTCAAATTGAATTTAATCGCTTCTGAGAGTGCGAATTGGTCACCGCTCCCAAAAGTCCACTTTTATACTAGTCTTTATGTTTCGAATTCATTCTAGCTGCAAATCACACACTCACTGAATAGACATGCCGTTGTATACAGCTGAAAGACCCATTGGTACGGAGATAACAACCTTCTGGGAGTCGGGATATTGGATTTGAAATTGACCGTCGAGAGTGATGTTGGCCCCGGAGGAGAACACTACAGCTGGCCGAGCACCAAGCCTATGTGAGACGCATTCAATATGGAAGGGCTTGAATACGCTCGTGTTGACCAACGATGGGTTCATGACCAATTCTTTAAAGAAAAAATAAGGTTTGCTGGTAAGTAGTTTAATATTTATCCTGGCAGTCTATTTTGTAGCTACACTTTAAAACCAAAAACACTTTAGATTGATTATTATTTGTGTTCTAACTCTGTAGAGGATAAATAAACTATTGAATTATTCTACCAGAGAAAGTTTCTCCACACTTATTTAAAAAAACAAATGCAAGAATTTTAGCTAAAAAGTAGAGTCAGTACAAAACTAAATGAGCTCTGAAAATAAAATGAAGCTAATCAGGTGAATTTGATGAAACTTAATTAGTTGGATTCTATTGGGTTCTGTCAACATTATCCTACTATTTTGGTCAAATATTTTGGCCCTAAAATTGTCATGAAATGATGAGAGGAATAACTCTAGTCTTCAAGATAAACACACCAAAAGTCTTTTTATCCTCCCCTCGTAGAATATTATATTGAAAACTACAAATAACAATTTAGATAAGACCCTATGTTTAAATGGACAAAATTATGGCGAATTTAATTGCTTCCTCCGAGGTGTCGCCGTTTAGACGATAAATATTTGGCTGATAACTATTAATAGGGTGAAAGATAGGGGATAGTGATATTTAGAGAGTTAGCATAGATAATTGGTTGAAATTCAAAATGATGATTTCATGAAGAGTGCTTATATTTCTTAAAAATAGAACGATAAAGCACCTCACTTCTATCTTCCCTTACTTGGTTTGAGTGAACATCTGGAATGAAGTAACATGAATTAGATCTTTACTGGTGCAAAATTGGCACTTTCGCTCTGTAAAAATGACAGATTGGTCTTAGTTAAAACGAGGTCCTGTCTTCTAATCGTCAATTCGAACTGTTCCTTGGAATAATGAAATGAAAGGACAAAAGTTAGTGAAATCGAAACTGGAGAATAAAATGGATTATATTCATAATGGAACATCACTTGAAAGTTAAGAACCAACCTAAATGGGTAAACTAAAAAAAGCTATAGATGTCCAGGAATATATTATAGATATTGTTTGGCAATAAGTTTAATTCATTACCACATGCCAAATTTCAGCACCGATGTAATGAAGCCCTATAGGGAGCCTGAGCAGTTATATCTTCATGTCTTTCTATCAACGGCGAACTCAGACAAGTGCAATATTTCTGGGACTTTTGCTTGTCAAGATTTTCTTAGTATCACCCAGGATTTGCGTCTTCGTTTTCAATTCAAAAGACCATTCTGATGGTGAATCATCATTTGGGGTTATGCTGTGATTTTATTACAAGCGCGTTCAATAAAATTCCTTCTAAGTAAACCATTTCATGATTAATAAACGTTGATTAGTACTGTGATGTAGATTCGTGTGATTTTTCTGAACATTTGTACATCTGGATGCATTATCATTTCATCACGTTCGCGTTGATTTCCTACGGTAATTCCAGGTATGTGTGTTCATACTGACCTTCTGCCATTGCGTCATACCTGCAAGACAATTAAGTTGTGCTAGTTTAATACACTTGAAAATCCACTTCAGAAGTCTATTTTCTAATAAAATTAATTCTCTTATTTACATACAGAGTTGTGTTTTGTCTTAGGTGAAACTTTTTAATTTTTTGGTAGACTCTAATATTTTTTACTAATAATGTCACCGATTGCCTGAAAGTTCTTATCATACAAACTAAACTGAACTCTTATAGCTACGTAAAATTCACCTGTAAACTTTCATAGTGCTCCTTACATTGGTCTAATCTATATGGTTTTTTCGGGGAAAATTCAGACCCACATGAGTCACCGATTTAGCTTGTGTAGAGTTCCGATCTTACAGAGCCTCATTCCTTTCGAAGTATACAAATTTTTATTGTAAAATTTAATTGTAACTAGTACATGGTCAGCTTCTTTCAATAATAATGCATACTCACCTCTTGTATCATCAGTTGGTGAAGTGAGAATTTCCTCTGCATATCCAACGATACCCCTAATGGTTGCCCGACACCTATACTTTCCAGCATCCGATGGGTTATAAGCAGGTATCCTCAATATCTGTTCGCTTCCGACGAATTGTCCGTCCTTCTTCCATTCGTAGATCACATCAGTAGGATCCGGTCGTACGAGACATTGCAAACGAACCTCATCTCCATAGGAAAAGTGAGTTGGATAGCGAACGATATAGATAGTATATGGGCTAACACCTTCTCCACCTCCGGAAATAGTATCATTTCCCATTTGAAGTGAAAGTAACTAAAATCAAAATGAAAAAAATTTGACTGGTCATATTTTGTTTCATTTTGGGGCGAAAATGTGAATGAACATTTATTCAAAGTGGTTCCCTCTCGATAGGAGGTCTCTAATTAATAATGGATTCATAAAATATGCAATTTTCTTTCTGCCAGAATGGAACAACCTTTACACAATTCAATAGAAGGGACGTGCTTTTGTTGGGAAAAAACAGGAGAAATGAGGGAGGAAGATAGGGGAAATGGGGGAAAGAGTAGAAAGAAGAATTCGGAACGAATAAACGTCAGCGCTGAGCTAGTGAAATACGGGTTGTGGTAAAGAGAGGTGAATTTAGGTACGATACGGATGTTAATTGGTCTTATTTTAACTAATACGAAATGAATAAAATATTTTTTAGCCATCAGTTGAAACAGTGTAGAGAAATGAGTCAGCATAGTAAGAAGTTTTGACCTAATTGGCCTTGCAGTACTTGATTTGCCCCCAAACCACCCGGCGGAACTATTATGCACCCTCTTGCGACTCATTTCTGCAGCAATCTGGAATTCTTCCCAGATTTTGTATTATCCTCCTTGTAGAAGTAGACACTATCCACAAAATACGTATTAGGAAAATTTCGTTTAGGTATAGGTTCTCTCCTAATTATGGGGTCGAATGATAAATGTTAAATTGCTCTAATCGCGACCAATTGTCACCAATATAATTTTATGATGTCAGACATCTGTAGTCCCCATAAAATGAACTTTGCCTCCCATCCATTTCCCATTTGGCGGATTTTACTAACAAAAATTTATGGTAGACGAGTCTATTTCATTTAACCCCCACAACGTTTTAATTTTGGGGTGTGCGATAGACTTACCTCCACGTGGTGCACCCTGGGCAACGTATACTCATACAGCAAAAAAGTCTATTAACTGGCAGTTGACTTCTCACTTCAAACTACAATGGCCCAACTGTATGTCATATTCGACTACTTCCATAGTACTCACCTCACCTTTTTTCTACCTTAGGGTCTGTCTCTTTTGCATCTTTGAAACACTCTTCTGTTCCCCCCACCCCTTTTGACTCTTCAAGTTGATGTACCTTCCTCTCTGTGAAGCCTGAAGTCAACTAAAGGGCTAATGATAACCATCAGGACGCCTGCCATTTGATATAAAACGTTTTAATTTTACTAAACTACCTGAAATTT